CTTGAATCGTGGAACGTGGAAGTCATGCACACAGAGTTTGGGATTAAAGTGGAAGCTACAACACACATTCACAGAAGATGCATAAACCATTAAATTAAGACAGTTAATTAATTGCGTACGTTGAATTGGATATTTCCTAATTCCTAGTCCGTCCACGGTTTGGAACATTTTCTTTACAAACAAAACATGAAAACCCGAAATGACTGAGAAGCTGCACGGTGTTGGAGAGAAGAAACAAAGAAGGAGAAATACTTGATTTTCAGAATAATAAGTTTGTTTGGATTGGGCTTTATTTCTCCAAATTTATTTGTTTACATCATTATTACAATTTTTAATACACCTTTTTACCTTTTCAATTATCTTTTTATCTCACATACATCACATCACAAAAAGTGCTACAGTAAAAATATCTCTAATAATTCACAATTCAAACAGACCAAACTATGGAAATTCTAGCAGACGACATGACCCCGAATGACGAAACAATTGTGGGATGGAGGAGGGGTTGGAACGGTTGTCAGAGACAACCGTTCCGGAAGGTTCACGGCCATGATTAGGTCAAAAAAATTTGTGCGGCTCAGATCACTTCTTGTAACTCGATTTTCACGCCGTGTGGGACCCACAAAAATGTTGTTTTGGTGTTACTCGCTGTTGTTCTATTGTTACACCTTGTACAGATGATGTTACACCGTGTGCAAATGATGTGTGCAAATGATGTTACACCTTCCGGAACCCCGAATCCGGGTGGGATTAATGAATGGTATTGGTATTGATGTCAGTCCCCATGTGGGATTATGGAGGTTTTGTGTTGGTGATTGATTATGAATAATGTGTTTGAGGTTCCTTATGTATCAGACACCTATCACTGGAATGGAATAATGCTTTATTTGTTACGTTCAATAATTGGACACAAAATGAAAACTTGGATTTCAAAATGTCCTAACTAAGAATATCACTATGAATCCTGTCTTTGCGCCAAGGTTTCGTAATTCTTTTTTCTTTCTTGATTTAGTAATGCTACTATAACTTTGTAGATCAAGATTCCCTTTTGTTGCATTTCCATCCAATAATTGATGGAGTTTAAATTTGGTTTCTTGTCATGGTAGTCCCAGTTATTCTGCTATCGACATGGTCGATGAATCGACAGATTTGGGCTCTATACGAGCATAGGAGTATCCATCGCATAGTGGGCTACCGGCTACCGGCCATGTCCAGAGTTTTCAAACGGGCCAATTTTCGAGTTAGATCATGCATCCAGAATCTTGTACTTACGATCGCTCCGCCCTTACAATTCAACCCAACTTGTTCGTCAGGAAACAAACTGTAAGAATGAATTAGCATGCAAAAACTCTACATCAAAATTTCAAGCTGCTCACCTTTAGTGAAAAGATTCTGTACCGAACTTTTGATGCTTGACGAATTCAATCTTGACATGCGAAATTGGACGAACTGTCGTTTTGGTCTAAACTCTTCGATGTTGGCCCGAACCTTGATATCCTTTACATCCGCCTGAGGCTGAGGCCCGTTTAAGCTGCAAATTTGGGGTTGTGAGCCGAAAGACAATAATGAGACTCTGCTTTGTCGTTTTGGGCAGCAACTCTGGTATTGTGCAAATAAAACGTTCATCATCGATATGGCTAGTCAACCCGAAAGGGTAAGTAGCCCGCTGCCGATTGCCATCCGTTTGCTTCTAGCATCAGAATTTTCTTGTTCCTATTTCTTTTCTTTTTTTTTTTTGAAACGATTGATTATACTGATAGATAGTATCACGCATCGAAATTGTTGAATTGAGGAAATCTAATACAGCTTCGTTGCTTCTTGAATCGAAAATATATATTAGTAAGGATTCAAAATGGAAGCATAATTGGTCGGGACTTTCCCTACGCTGGAGATGTAGAACCAGACAACCAGTACAGCTTTTTATAATAGAAACTGCATTCTATATGAATTGCAAGCACCGTGAACTTTATGCCAGCGGCTGAAGCTTTAGCAGTTTTGAGTTGGAATCTTTGATTTCTCTCTTTTCGCTTCTTAAATTTCATTCTTCTTTTGTTAAAAAAATTTTAAAAAAAAAAATTTATACAAACACTATAAGCTACAACTATTGCATGCCATCCCAAATCTCGCCTCCAAGCCGACTACACTATCCAAAGAATCCAATCAAACGTATGATAATCCTCAATGAATAAGCCCAGAGCATGCACAAAGAAAAGGTGAAAAATCGTCAATGAAGCCTTGATCAGTTGTTCACATTCTCACTTTACCAACTTTCAGTATGTGATCTTTATAAGTAGAAAAAAAATAATTTTTTAGTAAAACGAGCAAAATGTATATTTTTAAAGTCGAGACTCAGAGTAGTAAAATGTGATCATCCTAAATGTTCAAGGGGCTAAGTATTATTAACCCTTTTTCTTTTGCGACTTGGTGTATTTGTTTAAAATCGAAAGGATCATGCAATTAGTTGAATGTGATTACTTGGATTCCATAAGTAACAAGAGACTTGTTTTCTTAAACAAAACTAACATCGTTAAATTAGAAACGTTCAAAATTTTGAATCAGGAATGTCTTACAACTATTATTTTGTTTTGACTGAGAATCAGTCTAGGTTAAAACCAATGTTTTTAAAACCGGACCGGACCGGCCGGTTGGACCGCGAACCGGACAGGCCAACGGTCCGGTCTAGTGCTAAAGCCGGGGAGTAATCAAAAACCGCTAGAAACCGGATGAACGTGAAAACCCGCTTAGACCGTGAACCGGCGGTTTTTGAAACTTTTCAAAATTAATTCCCAAATTGCAACCACCAAGAGGCGAACACCTAACCTTGTGCTTGTCATAAGAAGCCCTTACCATTAAACCATAGCCTGCGGATGCGATTATTTTGTGTAGATATATACTTAACTTATTAAGTGAAAAACTAAAAATACCCCCAACCTAAGACACATCAAACTTATTTCTTTGTATATAAAAAATATATAAATGCAAAGATAGTAATAATTGTTAGTATATGTATATATATATATATATATATAATAAATTAGGTGAATATTAAATGTGTTAGGACAATCGTTAAAAAAATCCTTTAATAAAATAGCTTTTTCAAATTATTTTTTAAATTTTTGTAGAAAAATGTACGACAATGATTTAATGTGTGTAGAATAAAAATAATCAAGAAATAGATTTGTGAAAAAATTAAAAAAATAAAAAAAATGACAATCCAAACAAGGTCTAATTTGGTAACTAAATTGAATTGTTTAGATAAGTTAATGTTTTAAAAAATTTTAATTACATCAGAAACACTTGTGCTTTACATCATAAATATATTGTTGGTATATCAATGTTTGTTAATGTACTCCCCTTGATTATTAATGTGATCCCGTTGATTTTTTAATTTGTGAAAATAAATAAAAATACTCAAACTTTTAATTTCAATTACAATCTCACAATAAAATAGTGGTTGAAATGCAATAACAGATTGAAAGATTGAGTAGGGATATTCTTGCTCAATTGACATTGTAGACAAGTATTTAGGAAAAAAATTGATAAGTAATTATTATTTTAAAAAATATTTATAATTACATTGTACACATTCGTACTTTACATCATGACTCCTTGATTTTTTTTATTTGTGTGAATAAACAAAATACTTAAAAATTTAATTTCAATTACAATCTCAAAACAATATCATAGGTAGTAAGATTGAATAAGGATATTGTTACCTAACTGACTGGTAAATAAGTATTAAATAAGGGAACATTGATAAATAATTGGGCGCTAATAACAATTTTCTAGTGGATAAAAAATGTGAATATGGAGAATTTTTTCTTTCCAATGAATATGTACTGAGTGAGAAAGTCAATTGGCCGAAATGAAAACACAAATTTGAAAAAAGTTAAAAAAGAATTATTTTTCTTTAACCCAAATTATTTAATGCTACAACCGCTCACTTTTATCTCATTTTTTGTTTCTTATCAAGTTTGCATTTATATTTTCGATTCTCTTGACTTCCTTCGAACTCCAAACTTTCTTTTTTAAATTGCAATCCCTAAATCTCAAAGACGTAAATTAAAATTTAAGTTCACAATGTCAAATTCTCATGGACGTGAATTTTGTATAATTTCAAAATATTGTGACATTTTTGGGTTAGATTTAAGATTATTTTGGTAGATATAATTGAAATTGAAATGAAATTTATTTGTTTTAACTTATAATTTAAAATTTTTATTTTTGAAAATCCAAGTTATTCAAAAATAGTAAACTTTTCATCATATAAAGTTTTAAATTAGTCTATTGCATGTCTTATTTTGTGCATATATATTTATATAAATTATTTTTTAAAAAAATTCATTGAACCGAGGTTGAACCGGTCCGACCGGTTGAATCTCGACCCTTTCACTTCACCGGTTCAATTGACGGTCCGGGTTTTAAAACATTGGTTAAAACTACTAATGAATCCCTAGAAGATCTCAAAAAAATCCCCTCCTATTCGGATAGGATAGGGATAATATAGAAACCTCCCCTGAGATTTTTCTTAATATCACCTGACATCTCTAAGTTTTAAAAATATCACTTACCTCTCTTACTTTTGTTATTTGTGTAACAAAATTTTTGAAAACCCTAAATTACCCTTCTACTTACTAAAAAAAAAAAAATGCTCCTACATCACTTTGTTTACTTCAAGAAAACCATCATTTAAAAAATAATGCCTAGTGGTACTATCACATCATAATACTATAGTCCATAAAAATATATATTTGAAAAATAAAAAAGATATTTACAAAGAAATACAATTGACTAATTTAACTCTGCACGCTAAAAACCAATTTCTTATGAACTTTATCTTTTTTTTCCAACTTCTTCTCAACTCGTATCCAAAATTTTAAATTATTAGAGGAGATAAGTTATATTTTTAAAGCGTTAGGAGAGCTAGGTGATATTAGGAGAAACCTCAAGGAGGTTTATGATATTATCCCATTGGGATATAACTAAAACCGCTTTTCCACCTCCATCCCCACGTTCTGTACTCGGTTGAATTAGCGCCGCGGTATGCTAACCTCTCCTCGTCTTTTTTCACTTCCTCACTCTCCAGACTACACGTACCTCTCCCTCCCAGTATATCAGCATCACCACCGCAACCTCTCTAGCTGCATTTTTACACACACTCACACACTAGAAGAGAAAATAAAGGAAAGAAATTCTAGACTAATGGAATTGGATGACGATCACAACCCAGCCTCTCCACATTCACTCAAATCCAAGCTCAAAGACTCGCTCTGCTTCTACTGCTGCTTCCGCCGCCACCACCACGGCCATCGCCAGGTTCTAGACTCTCCAACGGGACCGCCAACACCTCCTCTGCCGTCAGATGACAAGCCCACTTTGCTCTGGCTGAAAGCAAGGAAGGCCCATGATTTGAAAGACGATATAAAGGACAAGTGCATGATGGTTTTCGGCCGCGTTGGAAATGGAATCAACAGGCAACATAAAAGACACCCGTCTGCTGAATTCAGATACGACCCGCTGAGTTATTCGCTGAATTTCGAAGATGGGTTCGACGAGGACGATGAATATCCGTTGAGGAATTTCTCCGCCAGGCTTCCTCCTTCCCAGCCAGTTGAAGCCTTGCCTGCTGTAAGAGAAATCGCAGCTATTAGCTGCAGATGAAATACTAGCAGTACAGAGTAAAAAATTTATGTTTCTTTTTCTGCTCATGGAAACATCAGAGTGTTTAATATATTGAATTTGATAGATCTTTCTGTTTCCTACTAAATTCTTTCTTCGGTGTTTTGGTAGTCGGTTTTCATTTATGCTCAGGCTCAGCATAAAAAAGTCCCAAAAAAAAAAAATTTTGGGCAGGCTGGATATGCCGTACACACCTGTACGGAATGTTCTGTTCGACATTCCTTCGTTTTAGTAGCTTTCTGTAGATTTATGGCGTTGCTGGTGAAGTTTTTGGGATCCGGGTTCTTCTCCAACTTCCAAATTTTGGATTGCGAGTTTCAACCAGCCTTATACGTGCGTGTGTGTGTGTGTGTGTGTGTGTGTTTTTTTTTTTTTTATGGGGGGGGGGGTGGGGGAGAGGATTCAGATAGGAAGTGTTAAGGCCATTGGTACTAAGTAACTTTGCTGGAAATAGAGTACACAGGAGAATGAAAGTGCTGGTGTAGTGTATATAATTTTGCTTGTAGTTGTTTATGAGCCAAATGGTGAAATTTAAAAGATCAGCTGTATTTGTAAATCTGTCGAGCTGGAGCCGACCGCCAATCTCCTGCGGATCTAAAGACATAAATGGTTCTGAGCTGTAGGATTTAGTATTCAAAGCCGGGAACCATGATCAGTTTGTGTGAATCTAGTCCTTCAGCAGTCTTATCTGGAATGAAGATCTTGGCCGGGCTGCTTAGCTCAAATTTGAAACTCGGACAGATAACAATGCAGAAAGATTCATCGCAAGGAGGCTAAGTGGCTGTACAAAGTAGTGTTGGACAAAGTATCAAGTGATCCTACTGGCTTCAGTTTGCCATGAACATCTCGTGAAATAAAAAAGTGTTAGAATACAGGATGCATTAAATGTGGTCGGTCGGTCAATTCACATGTTAGGTTAGTTCTAGACTAGTTTAATTGTGTATTAAACACTCGTAACAAAAATCCTATGTACTGTGTATTATTAGAGGTGAATTTTAGTACGATTATGTGCGATTACTTTTTTAATTTTTCTCATAAACTAATAAAAAAAAAAGTGTTTTCCTAAAGAAAAAGAATACTTGGTGCGAGTTGCCAAGTAGGTGTAACAAAAGGTTGTAGCAAAAATGGCAAGTCTAAGACTCTTTTAAGTTAGCTAGCTGACTATATAATTAACATTATATATACTTGGATTTGGATCATGTACAAAGATATTATTTGTACAAAGATACAGATTTACCTACCAATGTGAACCAAGTCACCGACATCAATGTTCAATAAACATGCACGCACTCGATTATTACGCAAAGCTTTAACCAAATGTTGTTTAAAGTAGCATATCTTATAAGATAACCCTCCTGATTTCTTAGATTCATATGTAGAAACAAAAATAATAATAATAATAAAAGGGTGATAAGTCTTGTTCCAACAAAGATCAAAATTCACGCAAGCAAAAGACACTGTTGCTTACCAATTGGCTGGATGGTGTTGATTTGTAGGCTCCACCTTAGATTGTGCTTTGCACCAGGATTTCGATTATTTCTGAGTGTTAATCTTACTTTATTGTATTTGTTCCAGTAATTCCGATTGTTGAAAAAAAAAAAAAAAAAGACACTACTGCTTGAAAAGGTGACGCTTTAGTCAAATTTCCATGACTTCATCTCGACAGCAAAAAGATATCGTGACTTTTGAATTTGGGGTTTTGTTTTGTATCCTAGTACTATTATTTTGTCATCCAACCTTTATCCATTTCCAAACAAAAGAAGAAATGACATCGTCATAGAATGGACGTAGAGCTGTTAATCGAGCCGAGTCGAGCCGAGTATTTGGTTGCCGAGCTCGACTCGAGTTTAATTCGAACCGAGCTTGACTCGAGTTCGTTAGGAAAACGAGTTTTAAAATGTGTTCGAACTCGACTCGTTAAATGTACATGTGGCTCGAGCTCGACTCGTTTATCACAAACGAGTCGAGCTTCACGAGCTCGAGCTCGAGCTCGTGCAAATTAACCTTAATAAAAACCTATAATTTTTAATTTTTATAATTTTGATTTCTAAAATGACAAATATGCCCTTTATTAACGAGCTCTAACGAGCTACTCGAGTATCAAACGAGCAGAGCTTACTCGGCTCGTTAACTAAACGAGCATGTTTCGAGCTCGAGCTCGACTCGTTAACCAAAATTAACGAGCCGAGCTCGAGCCTTAACGAGCCGAGCTCTAACGAGCTTTCGAGCTACTCGATTGACTTAACAGCTCTAATTTATGGACAGTACTTCAATTAAAAGTAAAACTGCTTTAAGCTATAATTGCTATATAATATTCCTGGAGTGGAAAAGCAGCAATATTAATATATTAATTAGAAGAAGATATGGAGCCTAAAAGCCACATGGTAAAATGGGATTGGAAAAGTTTGCTTGTAAGCTCAGCACGAGTTGGTGGCGGCACTAAATAGGTAATTTTCAGAGAATGGGAAGTGGACAAGGAAAGAGTGGCAAGGATATGAATCATGGATGAGCAGCATGTTTTTTTTTGGGTGAATCGTCACTTTTTATGTAGTATATCTTACTCTTCTAATCTAATTAAGAGGGAAGTCCGATGGAAACAGAATTACCGCCGGACGGACCAGATGGGCATAATACATCCATATGATGATGAAGAACCATTTAATGGCTTGAGTACGATGTGAATAAGCATATTCGAGCCTATCGACGATGGCCGCGTGGGTTCAGTGTGTGTGGTGTGTGCGTCCCGTCGTGTTTTCGTGGTGTTGTCATCAGCAGTGGAAAAGAGTGCAGGGACCAATACCAGATGGCCCCCTCATTCACATAATACCAGCAGCTAAGATGTCCGCCCCTTCCACCGAGTAGCTAAGAGCGCAATCCCTTGTTCAGCTTCTGCTCTTCTTCATCGATCCCTAGCTCCCCACCTACCTGTCAATGTGCTCATTTCTGCGTCTGTAACTCTCAAGCAATTCATCTCATCCACCTAAAACAAACAATGAGAATACTATTAGATTTCAAAGCAAACAATTAATTGTGACAGAATTTAAGACATACACACACCAATATCTCCACTTAAAAAGAGGGGATTTTGCCTTTCTCGGCCCCCAATGTAACTTCCCCGCTGTAAAATGGCATTGTTGTTATAATTATTGTCCCTCCAGCACAACACCATCCATTTGTATTTCGATGTTATGGGATGTTGCCGCTGGTGATGGACTTTCACCATACCAATTTTGATTCTTCCATACGCACAACTCTTTCAAGTACTTATTATTACGAGTGGCTAATTGTGTTCTTCCATGATTGCCAGCTGAAGAGCGTGAGTTTAATAATTAAAGTGCAATCATCATTACTAAAGAACTTCACCCAGTTGTGCTCTTCACGTAAAGGTGAATTGTTTACTGGATTGTGATTTTTGTCACAAAATTTTTACATTTTTCGTGAACATATTTTTTAAATATTTTTTTGTTTTTTTGGTCTCAAAGTTATACTCTGAATAATTATAATTTTATTTATTTTTTGTGGTGAAAATTGTAATACTAGAACGCATTGTCACTGACCACAATTCCCGTGAGAACGATATTCAATCTGAAATTGTTCATGTAAAGGTACGTAACTGGAGTAAATGCAATTAGAAATTCCGCAATCCACATGCTTCTTGGTTGGCCTCTAGCCGAACTTAGATAGTGGGCTCATCACTCATCAGCAATGCAAACCATTGTGGTGCTCCATAATCCAATTGAAACAAAAGCTCGCAACTTGTTTTCCAGGCCCATCCTAAATAGTAAATAGGCCATCTGCATCTAATGTGGAATCAATCACACACAGGCGAAGTATCCACAGTCGTCCAGGCAATGTACTTACTGAACTTTCTTTTTTGTCTTTTGCCTTCTCAAAATGGGTCGTCTTTGCTACAAAATTAGGTTACTTTCAACTTTGATATGCATTTCTTTTTTATAGGTTAGTAAGAAAGGATCAGGAAATTCCGGGTCCAGTTGGTATATATATCCTTGGCAGTGACGGAGCCAGGATTTTTTTTTTGGGGGGCCAAAATTGAAATTTCATTCAAAGATGACTAATTCATATATATATATATCAACTCTCATAATATAAACTAAAATTGAAAAAATTTAGGGGGGGCCAATTTTATTTTACACACATATTTACATATTATGAATTAAAATTCTCAAAACTTAGGGGGGCCATGGCCCCCCTCTGCCCCCTTGGCTCCGTCATTGATCCTTGGTGTTCTTTTCTGGCAATATGTAGAGTGTTAATGGCAACTACCGTACAACTTCAGCCGAATATCATGCATGGATATGATTGCTAGTGCGGAAGGTGGTGGGAATAAAATTTGGTTTTTTTTTTTTTGTGCCTTTCATTTGGCGAATAGTAGCCTTCAGCACATCTAGTCTGGCATGTCTTGCTTTGTACATCACTCTAGATGTTTGAAACGTGGCTTTCAAATGTATAGATGCAGTTCGCTGACTGCTGTTATTGAACAAGGGTTAGGACGTACATGAATAACTTTGCTGTCATATCATGTAACTGCTGTTTTGAGTACGTAACATGAATATTTGTCGAAATTCATTGTGGGTTGCGTATAATCGCCATTATTAGTGGACATATGGTCCTTTTGTTCTGAGATTTTAGAAGTGGGGTGCCTTGCTTAGATTTGCCATTCAATTGCAGCCCACAGGTCGAAGTGTTGGGTCTCAGATTATTATTGGAGAAGGCTGTGCTGCTGCTCTTCGGATTGCAAGAATTTTTGGAGTTGCAACAGCTGCGTTATGGAGGATTATATATACGGAACCAAGTCTCCGAAATAAGTTGCTTTAAGTGACCAAGAATACTGAGGAAACTTCAGGATCAGTGGCACAAACAAGAATTATGTCACATTGCAAATCTGCCACAAGATTGTGGTAGTAAAGTAAACTGCGATACTTGGCACTTTTGAGACTTCTTGTCAGGATTTTCAAATCCCCGTTTCTCCTCACAGCTTCTTAAATTCTATCCTCATCTGCTAGAAATTTTTTTTGTTTTTAATTTTAAAAACAAACCTTACATTGAGCAAGCAAACAACAATATATT